CTCACCAGCCTCCCTTCCCTTTGCTGCTCAGTGCCCATCTCTCAGAGGGAGGTGGTCACTGAACGGTGCTGTGGAAGGATGCTGTGGAGTTCCTGTCCCTCTTCACGGTCAGACAGCGGGCTCTGATGGATGCAGCACACCAATTTGAAAATAAGACCCTAGCTGAGCAATAAGCTTGGAGGTTTGGTGTAGGGATCCGAACAAGGGCAGCCTGTCGCAGCAGAGATAAGCAGCTGAGCTGTCAGAGCACCTTGAAAGCAAATCAGGGAGCAGCATCAGGAACGAGCACAAAGAGAAAACAGAGTGCCCGTCTCCTAGTGCGGTGGCTAAGGGAACAGAGACAGAGAGGTTTAAAAGTTTACCAAAGACATTACTTTATCAAAAGTGAATTCCTGGAGAGGGCATGATGCACAAGCTCTTGGTCATGATAAACAATGTAAGAAATGACCTGTTGAGTGTCCTCTCTCCAGCACTGACTCAATAGCACATGCTTAAGAAAACTGCAGGGGGGGAAAAAAAAAAAGGCAACAAAGAGTGATCTTTTCTCCTTCAAAAATAATAAGCTCCATCCTCACCTCTTATAGTCTGAGCTACTGTATGACTCTGCACTAGTCCTGAAGAGGCAGCTCTGCAAGGGGGGATATATAACCTCCAAAGGAAGCCACTTCCAGAGTCAGAGGAGGAGCCCACACCTCCGTCCCTTCGTGGGCATGCCAAAATACCCAGCCAGGTTGGCCAGATTCTCTCCCAAAGGTTATTTACTGCTTTTAACCCAAATGGTTCAGCTGAGCACAACGCACCTGATTCTGCATGCTGAAATACAGCCAGGTGAATATACAGCATTTATTCACAAGGCACATAGGACTTGCTGTTGTTTGGGTCTCTTTGTTTTCTTTTGTTCTGCTCACATCAAAGGCGATATGAGACGATGAATCACTGGTACAGCCCATGAGCACTGCTACAAGCACAAGTCACACTTTAAATATATCCAGCAGCCTCTTTAGGGACCACAGGACAGGGGTGTTGTGGCTGGACCTTTTGTGCTATTCCCAGACCCCTCGGCAACCCTGTGTTTCAGGCCGTGCACACAGCAGCATTACTAACGCAACTCCTGGAAGGGCAGTGCCGGAGATGTGCTGAGCCACCTCACCCTCTCAGCTTTGAGAGAGCAGATGTCAGGCCAGCACGCAGGGAAGACGGGGCGGGGGGGTAAAACCCTCAAAGATCTGCAAGAATACAATTCCAGCATGAAAAGCAGTAAAATCCTGCTCGCACAGGGATTTGGGATATTTTGTAGAGGCATCTGCAAGTTGGGGCATAATACAAAGGCTTTTTCTTACACAACTTATTAAAAGCACTACTAATAATAAACTGCAAGCCCAATCTGAAATAACCCTTGCTATTTCAGGTCTGGCTTTCTCTAGAACTGTGCCATCCCCTGTACCAGCGCTGAGGCAGATAATCCTCACATGAAGGGATTGGGCTTCAAATGTCAGGAATCCAACATGGAGCCTAAGAAGAAAAAGACGACCAGTATTTACTGTTGTCCCACGAGCCACACTCCTTGCTCACAACTCATCTGATCACTTCGTACGTGTGGCTGCTAACGCTGCTGCTACCCTGCCTCTTTCAAGATCTACAGACAGGATTCAAGCTCCAAAGTCACTAAGATGCTTTTGAACATCTTATTCTCAAAACCTGCTGGGTTTGCACCAGGGAAGACAAAAGGTGAACCTCTCACACAACTAGACCGGTGCTTTTGGAAATCCTTCCCCGGCTGGGAAATTGCCTTTTTTTATTGGAGGTGCGTAGTCCTGGTTAGCACCCCTGAAGAGCAGCCACCGCCACCGGTGTGCTGTGGCCTGCATGTTTCAGCTGAGGGCTGGCATTTCAAGGACACGTGAGAATACAGTGAACAACTCCATGAGTCATTCTTAGGTGAAAAGATATCCTACAATGTCACTCTGAGGGTGGTGAGGCACTGGAACAGGTTGCCCAGAGAAGCTGTGGATGCCCCATCCCTGGAAGTGTTCCAGGCCAGGTTGGATGGGGCTTTGGGCAACCTGGGCTAGTGGAGGGTGTCCCTGCCCATGGCAGGGGGGTTGGAACTAGGTGGGCTTTAAGGTCCCTTCCAACCCAAACTGTTCTATGATACTATGACTCTCTAAGGTCATGTGGCCCCGTGACATTCTTCTTTCCACCTCCGCAGGACACAGGGCTGTCATAAAAAAGGGAAGTCTTCCAGTGAATCTTACTGTTCAAATGTAATTTTTTTGCTCTGACGCATATGAGAAATTTAGTCTTTTGTAGCTTGTAGAGCCTCCAGACAATGGCAAAACTGAATTTCAGGCAGTTTGAAGAGTTAAATATGAGAAAATACTGCCTGTTTCCAGAACTGTATTCACTGCTGCTTCTGAGTACAGGCACTTAATCTGCATTTCTATTTTTTGAGCCTATAAAAGATATAAAAGGTTTTTTAAGATACAGAAGTTTTGGGATGTACAGGGGTAACCTGCCTCAGTATTTACACTTTCATAGTGCCGAGGCTCAAAATCCCCGCAGTGTGCTCCCCACCCCCTGGCCAGGCAGCATCCCCTGCCAAAGCACACAAATGCGGGGACGCCTGGGGAGCGAGCTGCCCTCGAGAGCAGTACAGCATGCTTTTGCTCATCCAGTTCCTTTATCAATGAGTGTCTTGTTTATGACAAAAAGTATACAATAAACACCATGTGAACGACCTCGGTGAGAGTGACATTGGCACCTAAAGAGACACTCCAGAAGGCTGTTTTGGCTGACCACAAATCTTCTGTCTGCAAGGCAGCGTAGCTCAGAAATGCACCAAAGACTTTTCTGAGCGGTTTCTCTCACTGCCCTCATCACCGGAGTACCTGAGGGCCTTCAAGTCTTGTTCTAAGCAACATGACAAACATGTCACATCTGGTTCATTCTCTTCTTCCTTCTCTTCTGAAGAGGAGAATCTAAGTGCAGTAAATTGCTTTCATAGGGCTTTGGTTTCCCCGCCTGGGCTGTTGTGTCTGGGAGAAGAAGCACGGTGAAAGAAGCACTTCTAATGCACAGAAGAAAAAAGGACAAGCTTTCTGTGATGGTCTCTGGTTTCTGTGCAAGGTTATTTTAGAGCCTCAGCTTGGGTGGTGTTTGGTTTTGGAAGTAAAAAGTCCGAGGACTCTCAAGGAACGCAACTGTCAAACCTTCTCCCCACCTGAGGCATTTCCATACGCATTAACCCAAGTGATGGAGCAACCCAGAGGACTTCAGGTCCGACCCACACCTTTATGGGAAGCCAGTGCAGAGAGAGGATGAGTGTGATGGACTTGCATAACTCGTATCACGCCGCAGCATTCAGCGCTGGCTGAATTTTCCTGAGGGCTGATGGCTTCATGCCCAGACACTGTACATTTCATTATGATAAAAAGACCCACTCAATTAAAGGGCTCACTCCCACAGCCCTTATTTTCAAAACAACACTTGTATAAATGGTCCTATGGCTGACGGCAAGAAGGCTTGTGTAAGGAAGGACAGACCCTTTGAACAAAAGTGGGATGAACAGACCAAGCTAAACAAGCACATGTAACCCAGAACTGTGCTTTTCAGTATGGGTAATAGTAATTTCCCCTAAATAGAGCACAACTTTCTCCACTGAAGCAATAAAAATACCTAAAATAATGACAACTGCAGGTTCTTATGGAAATTTTCTTCCAAGCACAGCTCTCCTACTTCCTTCTCTGAAGCAGATTTTGAAGCGTTTTGAAAAGTAAGCTAGGCTGCAGCACTTTCCCTGATTGGGAATATTGTTTTTAAACCACTTACTGCAGATTCCTGCTTTTCCACTACGGCGCAGGGTGCAAGGCATCAGCAGTTTCTGTGCCTCAGCAGGAGGACAACCACCAAGGGAAGGCAGCCTGCCTTTGGCTCTGCTCTCCTCCTGCCTGCATCAGCTGGTCTTGAACTGGCTGCCTGCAGCGCTTGTGCACTCGCACGTAACGCAGATGGGTGGTCTTGGCGGTTTTTTCCATGAGCTTGGGAAGCTCCTGGTGAAACGCCACTGGGGACCCATCCCTCAGAGGGAATGGGATATGGGAACAGAGAGGGAATATCCCAAGAGCAGCCTCTCCTGCACTGCTCCCCACTGCTGGAGGAGGCTACGTTTCGCCTTGGCAATTCTCCACTGTGAGGATGCGCACTGAGAATTTCATTTAACTGTGAAATCTCTGCAATAAACCAACCAGAGGAAAACTGCCTCAAATCCATACAGATAGTGTTTCAGGTTAACTAATCTCACAAATTGGAAAGGAAATAAGCCATTCATCACATTCTCCTTCCAAATTAACAGGGATCAATCACTACTACTAGGCTTATAGCAACATCTGGGTAAGACAAAAAGCCAAGTATGGGGCCAAGGCTGGGAATTTGGGGACCAGGTCAAAGAGGACAGAACAAAACTCTGCCCTTGAACTGCACCAGGCAGACTGACCATCAGATAAAGCTTTAACTGAGTGACTTGAAGCTTTTCCCAGGCTCCTCTCCCACCTCTGGCTGTGGCTGCCAGAGCACGTCCCCATCAGCTGTTGTCCTTTCTCCTAGGACCACCGAAACCCTGACAGTGAGGACAAGCTTATGTACCCACACCTGATTGCACCAGTTCAGATGGACACTCAGACAAGTATTTACCTAAGCACATGCTTAACTGCATCCCTATTTAGCAAAGTACTTACGTATAGGTACAAATTTACATCTCTATGGCTACAAGAGACGTAAGCCTGTCATTAACACTTTTTTTTCCCCTCAGTCAGGGCTTATGTGCCATTCTTAGTTGCCGGACAACCCTCTGCGTACATGGAAGACCACATTTCTCTTCTGCTTCTCAGAGTCCCCTCTGGCATCACCATGCAGGAGCCAGAGCTATCCAGAGTGACTCAGCAGCCCAGAGATGGGGCAGAGGAGAGCATGGTGGAGGGAGCAAAAGGCAAAGCAAGACTTACGTTGGCTTTGAGGCTTCAGCCTGGTCAGTCTGCAGTTTCTCCCCACCTTCGACTTCCATGGTACAGTATACAATACGGTTGGGGGCCAGCGACTTCAGACCCTGCACCTCCATGATGACAACCTGTGGGGCAAAAAAAAGGGAACGTTAGGAGGAGCAGCCTCTTTCAGATCTCACTTTGGCTGCTGGGTCAGCCAGCGCTGGGGTCCTCCATGTGTTGCTGGATGTTCATGGTGGCAGGTGGGCAGGGGTGGTGGCACTGCCCAGGCTGAAGGGGAACCATGGCAGCCAGCGAGGTCTGTATGGAGACTGGGAGGTCTGTATGGAGACCAGGAGGCCTCCCTCTGACTGCACATGGGCTTGCTGAAACCCTTGGGTGTCCAGGGCTGTACCCAGCTTCAGGAGATGGGGCTCACAAACGTGATCCTGCCCCACCTACAAGTGCCTTAATATGTGAAATCCAGAAAGAAAGCACACAGCTACTCAGCTTGTGCCAAAAGTCTATTTTCAAGATGAATCACAGAATGGTTTGTGGTTGACCTTTGCAGATCATCTAGTCTAACCCCCCTGCTGTGGGCAGGGACATCTTTTACTAGACCAGGTAGCCCGAAGGCCCATCCAACCTGGCCTTGAACACTTCCAGGGATGGGGCATGTACAGCTTCTCTGGGCAACCTGTTCCAGTGCCTCACCACCCTCATCATAAAGAATTCCTTCCTTATATTCAATCTAAATCTACCCTCTTTCAGTTTAAAACTGTTGCCCCTTGTCCTGTCACTATAGGCCCTGGTAAAAAGTCTTTCTCCATCTTTCTTACCAAGAAATCACCATCTAAGTTTCTTGCAGGTAATTACCTTTTTAAAAAAAAAAGTGACTAATCCTATTAACCACATGCCTTAAACACTTCTACAAGAAACACTGTGGGAGTTTCTGTTCGTGTTTTATTACAGCTACCTAGGAAGTATATACACAGAGGTTTAAAATTCCTCTCCTCAGATCCTCTGATTTGTCCTTGAACTGAGGATCCTTGCCTGGCACACAGAACTCTGTAGATCCTCTGATGAGCACATATTTTCAGCAAAAGCTCTCTTGCAGCACAAGTTCCGTGCGCAGACCTGCCAGCTCCTGAAGTCAGTGTTTCACTGAGCTTCTGCTTCCTGCTGGATGGGGTTCAGCTGGAGCAAAGCGTTTGAGACATCCCGTTGTAAAGGCAAGTCCCTTTATGCATGGCTATACAAGCTGCACAGGCTTTTCCGACAGAGAGGTCTACTGCTTTGTGATAGTTCCTCGATCCTCCGTACGGGAACGCTTAGAAGTCAGGTGTTATTTGATGCTGCTGTTGAAGGCACTGTCTCCAGGTTCATAGCCCTATTTTTAAATAAGACTGAACTGAATGTTAAAAATCATAGACCCATAGAATGGTTTGGGTTGGAAGGGACCTTAAAGCCCACCTAGTTCCAACCCCCCTGCCATGGGCAGGGACATCCTCCACTAGCCCAGGTTGCCCAAAGCCCCATCCAACCTGGCCTTGAACACTGCCAGGGATGGGGCATCCACAGCTTCTCTGGGCAACCTGTGCCAGTGCCTCACCACCCTCACAGGGAAGAATTTCCTCCTAACATCTAATCTAAATCTACCCTCTTTTAGCTTAAACCCATTACCCCTTGTCCTGTCACTACACTCCCTGACAAACAGTCCCTCCCCATCTTTCCTGTACCACCTTCAGGTACCAGAAGGCTGCAATTAGGTCTCCCTGGAACCTTCTCTTCTCCAGGCTGAAAAGATGGTTTCAGACTTCTAATGAGTTAAACTCTGAGACTGGACAACCAGTGTTGTTAAGTTTTGCATTAGCATGATGCATATAGCAAGACACCCCTCAGGAAAAGAAATAAACAGGAAACTACACAAAAATAGAATTTTCTGATTTTTCTGCATCCTACATTTTTGACCCCATCCTGGTAGCTGTTTTGACAATGTAACATAAACCCACTCACTGATAAACAATTCTGTGTGGGTGTGCTAATGACTCCTTGGAGTAAATGTCTTGCCTAGACAGCAAATATGTTTGCACAGAACAATTAAGTTTGCTGAAAACAGCTACTGCAGCAACACTGCTTTCAGGACAGCCCGTGTCAGAGGTAACGGCGGGTCCCTGCAGCACCCTGCCTTCCCCTGGGCTGTGCTCGACAAACTGCTCGACAGAGCGCTGAGCAGAAAGCCAGCGCTCAACTCAAAGCAAAGAGCAAACCAGGAAAGCACAGTATTTTGACACAAACCGCAAGCCAATCTGTTGGGTGCATTCAAACCCCAGGAATTTTTACTAATTCTCCAAAGAGGAAGCAAGACTCGCAGGGAAATACGGTGACATCTCTAACTGGCAATAATTAAACACATAACATTTATAGCGCTGCATTATTGTACTGGTTTCAGGGACAATACAGGCTCAGGGTTACTGGGGTACATTCAGCAACAAGCCGTACGAAGAGGTCAGTTGACGATGCAGATTTCTGAGCCATTTGATATACATCAGCAGGAAACACCGGAAAGCT